TAAATCCCCTCCTTGAACCACCAACCTTAACGTGGTGGAGGGGTTTGAGTGCCCGAATTAACCAAAACTTTCAAGAGGAGATATCTTTTGCATTTTAGAGACACATGCTACAAATTAGCAGCTGTGGTTGGACCATCTCAAGTTTGGACAGAGTTTTTCATGCTCTGTGGTCCGATTCAAATCCCTTCTGGATTTGAACAGAACATAGAAGGGACTGGCTGGTCAGGCAAGAGAAGCACAGAGCTGAATAAAAAAATAAGAACTCATGAAATGCCCAGTTCACCAAAGCAAAGCATATACTGTATCTTCATGGAATTAGATCACAATTTCACTTTTTATTGCCCTATTGCCCAACCCTATACAGTGAAATGTTTTTTTCTTACATTACTTACTTTTTTACAAGGTTCTTCAGTCCACCGGTTCATTTTCCTTGCTCATACACCTCCCCGACTTCTTTTTAATTTTCTAATTGCGTGGTTTTAATTAAAGCCACACAACGGTGACAGCCAGACCAATTAAAAGGCAGAAAACTTGTGATAGTCAAGGCTGCCGTGCATTTTTTCTTTTTTTTTTCTTTTGAAAATGAGGCGTATTTCTGTCAGTGAATGCTGTATTCACGCACTGTCATGCCTTGGTTGAATCAACAAGGTGCCTCTCCTGCATGAATAAGTGATATGAGATTTCCCATGCACAATGCTATATCGGGAGCCCTGTGTGTTACAAGGCCTTGGTGGAGTGTGTGTATAATACTGTTGATATCAACATACATGATCTGTTTATATAGGGTGTGGACTCCTGCCGTGTTCAAAAGTAGCGAACATCAATTTTTATTCATTTTTGTGTGTGTATGTGTTCCTTGTGTCCCAGTACTGGTGTGTGTGTGTCTTGCCTTGTGATGCGCAGCTAGCTCCCTCCCCTCTCTCCACGCACTATGGCCTCACTTTCTTTCATTATCTTTTAAAAAACTCACATGGTTTTCCTAATCTAAGTTTTAATTACATTTTTTGGCTAGCTCTACTACCTGCCATACATAAAGCTACCCAATTTATACCCAATTAAAGGTGCATTGTGTAACCTTTCTGCTTTTCACATGCTTTGTCTGAAATGTTTCACAGTATGGAATTAAAACTTTTTATCATCATGGAGACCAATCCATGCCAAGTTATTGGTCAGATCTGTGGAGAGGCAATATCACTCACAGTCAAAATGCCTATTTTTCTTGATATTTTTGAGCTAAACCCATCTGTGACTGAATACATGTAAGGTCTATTTAATGTCATATTGTGGAACATTCAATGGAGAACATATAACTAAAGAAACAAGAAAGTGACGGACCTCCCTACCCAAAAGTTGCATAGTGTGCCTTTTAATATTGATGGGGGATGGTGAATCTGCTGAATCTTTGAGATGTGTCTAAATAACTGGGTCACTGAACACAAAAGGTAATGAACACTTAACAAATCTCAAGAATAATCTCTTGAAATTTCAACTATCCATGTTTTTTGCGAACATTTGCTTTTAGATTTTTAATTTTTTTTAATGTTTGTTAGGTCCAGTAAAAGTAACATGACTTATTTACAGTTATAGGATTTATTATAAAGGGCAAAGTGAAATGGGGGTGAAGAGTGGGAGGAGAATCTAACTAGGACATAGTGAGCACGACTTTGAACCGTTTATGTTGCCCTCCTGTGGGTGAATGTAACGGTTACACCAAACTATGATTATGATACTTACTTTATAGCTGTGCTGCTGTGTACGAAAAAGGCCACCAGCACCTTGATTGTTTAAAGGGCCTATTACTCTATTTTCTGATCTATGTAATCATGTTGTTTCCTGTTCATCAACAACATACCAGGAGTCGTGTTTGTTTCATTCCTACATGTTTATCACAGAAATTCTGCGTAGTTCTTTTTTCAAACTCAAAACACTACACGTTGTGATGTTATGTCATAATACAGGAAGTGCTCCACTGTGTTTTTGAACTCCATACATCTTCACTAGAATATTTTGATCATTTCAGACCTGGAATTGCTAATCTCTACTGAACAAAAGGTAAACATTTACTGTTAACTTGAAAACTCCTGCTTCATGAGTCAATTTAGCAAAATATAGGACCTTTACGGAAATTGTTGTTCTTTCATGTAGATAGAGCCATGATGACAATTTTCTATGAGATGCCAGTGAATCAGCTCTAACTTTTTCTGGTCTCATGGGAGAATCTCTGCCAAAAACAAGAACTGCCTTAATCAGCTGGGTAAATGGGCAAGTAAAGTAATTGGCCAGTCCTAGAACAGCCTGGACTCCCTGCACTCAAGACAGTTACAGCAGATGTCCCAAAGTCTTACAAGACATGCAGCAAACTCTCTTTCAGCTGCTTCTGGTCAGAGGTTTTTAGTCCCAAAATCTGAAACACAAGCTTTGTTCCAGCTGCTATCTTGTTAATGAATAAATTGGAATGTATTTATTTATCAGTTTGATTTCCTTACCTTGCAAAGCTTTTTAATAGGTTTTTATATATTTAATATTTATCGTGACTGTTAGCTAAGCGTCATTAATTAAGTGTGGAACAAAAACCATTCTGCAGAGGAGCACTGTGACACTTTATTCTAATGTTTTAATATATTTGACTATAATGTGAAATGTGGGACCGGCACTCTCAAACTGCAAAACACATTTAGCCAAGGGCACAAAGCTACCTAACTTAACCTTTGATGTAAGACTCTTATAAAGACTCGAGATAATAAATGCCCCCCCAAAGTACATAAGCTATCAATATGCATTAAAATGATAGACTACTTGAGATCCGATAGGACCTGATAAGAAGCCAAGCTCTCATAGATCAAGATGAACCCTTGTCCTCTGCACTGTGTTTTCTCTCATCATGTCAAGTATGGCTGACTGATGTTTTGTTTATGTACATGAATGACCTACCTTATTACCCTATCACAGCTCAGCACCTCTCACAAATAGACACAAACTGATGTCTCACCTTGATCACCTGATGTCGTGTTGAACTCATACCAAACACATCACACATCACAGACCAAATGGTTCATCATTAAAAGTTTTAAGTTGGCTTGGACAAAATCACTGAGAATTTGGAAAAACTGCGCAATGTGTTTGAAATATCTCCAAAGACTACCCGGGGAGAGCAAGTGTCATACACCAGTTGGAGTTTTCAATATAATTACTGCAACCATTTCTGGCATTTACTAAGCCGTCTGCCCTCATTCATCATTTAAGAGAATCTTAAAAAAAAAAAAAAAAAAAAAAAAATATATATATATATATATATATATATATATATTAAATTGAACATTTACTTGTGGATCAATTTCTATCCCAGGGAGAGGGGTTCGGTGGAAGGAAATTGAATTTGTTCTCAAGGCCCATTAATAATCATAATAGCCAGCAATATCTGCCGACTCAGTATGACACTTTCATTAATATCTCTGGAGTGTTATTCAAAGATTTATTGAACAACAGTATATCATTTTGCCTTATACCTTTGGTGGCCACAGAGGTACATCTCAGGTGGGTAAATGAGTAATGGGTTTTATAAAACCAGAATATGGGATGGAAAGAGCTACGGATTGACAATGCCTCATTTAAATACATTTAAATAAATATAGTAGTACAAAACTGTGATTAACTGCACAGAGTTCCATAATAGTTTCATATAATTATATTACTTAGGAATTAATTGGAAATCAGTTTCTATTTCAGTTTCAGTTTCTATTAAAATTCAATTACAACTAGCTACAATCTTAAAATAATTTTGTGATTGACTGTTCTCTACCTCTTATTGCCCTCCTTAAAAATATCTAATGTGTATATGTATGTATGCTATAGGACTATGGTATAAGACTAAGCTTATAAGAGTCATCCTTAAAGAAAAAGGTGCACAATCAAATGATGTACGCTACAAATATAGTGTATTTGTATTGACACAAAAATATAATAATCCTGGTGTTACCCCATAGCTAGTAGCTAGTAAAACCATGGTAAGCCTAAGTGCACAAAACCCACTCTGGCACAAGAACATGCAAACTCTAGAGAGACCCCACCCAGTATCACCCAGTAATGAAGCACTAATAAAGACTCAGACAGGAGCAGTAGACATAAGAAGATATAGATTTTAATATCTTTATAAACATTTTAGTCATGTTGGTCTTTGATGATAACTACAGAAACAACTCATTGGTGACAACAAAAGAATCTGAAGGCATACAATTGAACAAAGAAGGAAATTATGTGAGGTATGGGGCCTGTGCATTAACAAAGAATGGCTCTAAAAATATATTATGAAAAATATGCAAATTAACAAACCACCAGATAATCCAAAATCATAGACTCCTGGGGACAGTCGGAGCAGTTTAAACCCTGTTATCATCAATATTGTTTTTCTCATAGGTATACAGTAAATGATTTATATCCACTGCACAGTCCTCTTTTCTGTAATGTTTGTAGTTCTCATTTCTTAAGTGTACGGGAGGCACAAAAGCTGCAGATCCCGTTGTGTCCCTCTCTGCATTGTCTCCCTCAATACATCCAGAGCGATTGTCTTGGTCCTGGATGACAAATATCCATGGAAAATCGCATCATTTTTATAAAGAGGGTTATTCTCAGTAGTCCCAGCAGGAGTCCCCACACTCCAGTCATATCTGTAATGTTTTATTGATCTCACAAGTCTTTTTAACACATTGTTCTTTTGGGTTCTTCTCAGAGGAAGGGATGCCCCAAATTGCAGTGGGGTCTGTCCAGCACAACCTCACTGTCAAAAGAGCCCAATCTGCACCCTTGGGACCACTAAGGCTCCAATTGCACCCTGCAGTGGCGTACAGCATCCACGTTTAGGTCCATTTATTGTCTTAAAAATCAAACAACATCTGACACAAGATATAGACAGATTCTTTGATGTTCACAGCTTGTATTCCCAGAGACGTTTTTTTTTATTTTTCAGAGCAAATGAAAATGTCAGTGCTGTCATGGCGGAACAATTAGCAGCTTATTATCAAGATGCACATAATAAGAAATGGAAATGAACACAATAATGCAGAAAGCTGAGTTATATGGCAATTATAGTTGACACAAAACTCTAAAAAAAAGAACAACAACATTAACCCTCCTTTGTACTGGACACATTCGTATGTCAAAATTCGTGTGTATGAAAATTTGTGTTGCATTGACATTGCTGCCACATTTTCCTGATATGACTTGGCATTCTGAGTTGATAGTCTCAAACAAATATGGACAAAACCAAGTAAAAACACAACAAAAAGGCAACTAGCTTTTAACTTTCAATCCGTCACTGTCTATTGTGGGACTTATTCTCCTATCCCTCGCCCCATTCACTTTAACCACATTTTTCCAATTCTTTATAGAGTATGACAAAGATGGATGTTGAATCATTCTGGCTTAGTGGCAGTGCAAGCTTGTTCTCGAACTTCCCTAGTCCCTTACATTGTGCTGTGAATCTTCTTTTTGTTCATCGCCCCCTACAGGACATTTACACACATAACCACACACACACACAGAAGTTACGCAAGCCTGTATGCCGGAGCCGTAGCGCAGGGTCTGACTGTGTGTGTGAGAGCTGAGTTCCCAAACCCTTTGAAGGTCAGCGAACAAAGTCAGTGCTTGTTGTTACCAAAGCAACTGAAAGGGCGTAGACATATAGTATTGACTGGGATAAGGTCGCCCTATTGTTGGCTTGCAGAACCCCGCTAGGAGGCCGTACAGTGGTCCGAGGGGTGCACTTTTGCTTCCTCCGTGTTACAGTTCCATCTGGAAGCGTGTGATCATGTTTTCCTCCTTCTGTCATATCTGAAGAATCATCCTTGTCGGCCATGACCTCCTTGGAATGGTGCACTTCGTTGTCTCCCTTCCCCTTGCTCACCCGACTGCGAGGTTTGGTGCAGTTTCGCGTGCGTCCTGGTCGGGGTGAATGCCCGTTATTCCCAGAGTGGCCCACAACTCCACGATTCATGGATGGGTTGACCGTTCCAGACATATTATTAGTCTGGGCTCTGGACTCGGATGGAGAACAGTTGGGAAAATCCTCTTTGCGAAGTTCTTTTAAATCTTTTCCAATCATGTTTGATGGCGTCTGGCAACCTACAGTGGATGTGGAGCCCCGAAAACGTTTTAGCCATTCCCATAGGGACACAGCCTTGCAGTCACATGACCAGGGGTTGTCATTAAGCCGAAGATATTCCAGGCCGGGAAGCATGTCCAAGCACTGTCCAGATAGCTGTACCAGGGAGTTGTTGAACAGGTAGAGGGTGGTGAGGCGTTTTAAGTCGTGAAAGGCCAAGCGGTCTACCCACTCAATCTGGTTTTGGTGCAGGAGCAGACGGTCCAGAGCCCGCAGACCCCTGAAGGTGTTCTGGTTTAGGCTCCACAGATGATTCCCATGGAGGAACAGATGGCTCAGGTTGTGGAGGTCCCTGAACGTATCATCAGGGAGGGAGTTTAAGTGGTTATCCTAAGGTGGGAGACAGAAGTACACAGAGTGGTAAGGTTAGAACGCATTAAGAAACTAATATGTGCTGTGCTGTGCTGACTCAGAAATAATGTGAATTATGATTGGGCTGTATCTTATTACACTTGGGAATCAATATGGTGAGTTTTCATTGTAGCAAATTAAAGGTCCTATACCTGTTATTTTCCCATGCATCAAAATTTGCCCCACACAAACTTGCCTCAGTACAGATATATTGTATAAGCAGCTCTTGAAATCAAAATATGTCTGCTATGTGGTATTGGCTGTCTGCGAGTAATTATAAATAATTTTGTTTGTCTGATTATCAGGGAGTGCATGTTAGCATGCTAGTTGATGTTAGCTTTACTGCAGTAGTTGGATACATAAACTCATCACAGTGTAAATTAACAATGTTTTTCATGTTTTTAAGATAATAAAACTCCTTTAGTGCCTTTAAGCAAACATCATTATTACATATTGGTATTTTTTGTATTTTTTATGACATTCAGTTTCCATTTGTACAAGATCTTTTTGTGCCTTCGATTGACATGATGAAGTAGGATTCCATGGGGGGCATAATTACAGTAATATAACGCCCTCATGAGCTGTTAAATCTATTCTTACATTATAGTTGATAGTTATCCAAAAGGGACACATTAAAATTTGGAATTTGTCATGAAGTGACATAATCCAATCTAGGTTTATTTGTAAAGCACATTTTATAAACAGGGTAGTTTCCAAAGTGCTAACAGCAATATAAAAAAGCTCCAAAAGTCTAAAAGTCAGCAGGAGGTTAGAATGATGTATTACATGTCTATTTTCTGCAGTTGTGTGGCAGCATCGAATACATGTTTCTACTGTAAACTGCTGTGTACTGTGTTGAAAGTTTCAAAAACCCCATACCTGCAAATACAGATACTGCAAGTTTCTGAGGCCTTGGAAAATGTTACTGGGGAGAGAGCTGAGCCCACAGCGGTACAAGTGCAGCGCGTTGAGCCGACTCAGCCCGTGGAAGGTGTCCTCGGCCAGGGAGCGCAGGTGCCTGTTGTCCCCCAGGTCCAGCTCCTCCAGCAGGGTGAAGCCGTGGAAAGTGGATGGCGCGATGTGTGTGATGTTGTTCGAGTAAATCCAAAGAGTTACAGTGTTAGTGCTGAAGAGTTTAGGGCCTAAACTCTGGATTTTATTGTTTTGCAGAAAGATGCGTTCACTGTCCGGAGGGATGCCTGCAGGGACCGTCAGGAAATTGTGTGCCTGGCAGGAGACGGTGCTGGGGGTGGTGTAGCAGATGCAGTTTCGGGGGCAAGACCAGGAGAAGTCGAGCCCACACAAAACCAGCAGGAACTCCAGCCCACAGCCTGCAAGCACAAAAACGGACAGGTGAGTCTTACTTACGCTCCACTCTTCACCCGTGGTTTGTAAAAATGTCAAACTGAGAAACAGAAAAACACACAGCACAGTTGGTGAGTTTTGTATACTTTTGATCTAAATGCATTTTGCTCTGCCACTAGGAACTTGAACCATGCTGTCTTGAATCAAAATAGGATAAAAAAAAAAATAGGAATAAAAATGGCTTCGGATGCATGCTCACATGCTACTAATGAGAAATAATGTTTTTTATTACAAAAATATGATCAGCAACCTGCTATGTCTTTCAATGTAACTTTCAGTAACTTTTTTCTGTCCTACAAGTTTAATTTCCGCTTGCTTCATTCACCGCATATTTCAGTGTCACTATTTGCAGTCAGAATCCACCACATGTTTATTGAATTGAGCAAACAATAACACCTGCTTCAAGAAGTCACAAGATGTTTCTATGAGGCTGATGAAATCCTTTGTGCTACATTTTAGTCATGCCAGGCATACGCAGCTTTTCTACAAAATTATGATTTCCAATATTCAAGCACCTTGGGGAGATTTGCTATTAACACTCCAATCCATGATTCAGCTGGCATGTCTTTGCAGTTGAGTAGAAGCGGTGATGGTCTTTTTGCGTGTCACTAAATGAGCCGTGGAATGTGTATTTAAACTTTGTTGAGCCGGAAATTGGCGCTATGGTTCCATGCACACCAGAAATGGAAACTTAAAGGGACTTATCCAAAATTCATCACTAATCTATCCATCTCAAACATCATGAAAGATAAATCTGATATGCTCCAGCCCACTTCAGCTCATTAAGCACTTATGGCAGGTTTTCATGTTCTTGTAATTATTGCTTGGTTTAGTTGAATAGTACTTGTGGTAAGTTTTTATCATAGATTTACATCAGTAGTAGTAAGTATCATTTTGTGGAAAAAAAAGTTGATTAGAAAAGTATAAAAATACAGGAAATATCTCTGAGTTCTAAAATGGAATCGCTCTACCTCTGTTAAGGAAAGCTTAGTCTAAAATGCATGGAAAATGTAAGCGCAAAGAAGATATTTTCTGGCAGTTTAAACCTTAATTTAAAAAAAATCTGTTGTCATTTATTTTTATGAATGTAATTATAACTTTTATGTAATCTAGACAAGTTATAGTGCTTGGTAACATTTCTGTTGCTTGGTAAAAGTTTTAGAATCCTCTCTACGTATATCATATCTGCTGCCCGTGTCCAACCAGGAAACAAAATTATATAACTTCAAAATGTTAACTGTTTTAGCAGGGAAATGACTAGTCTAACCTTTCATATGCACTTTAATTTATTATTCACAACTTAGTGGAGGTCTGATTCACCACCTCCAATCAATACACCTCACTTGCTTTCTACACTCACTGTAATCCTTCTGCTTTTCTGATGGAATTTTGGGGTTACGAATTACAGACTACCAGCATTTTGGGGGCGAGTGGGACTTAAGCTGTGGCGTTCAGTGTCTGACTTGACTGACCTTTAGCTGTAATTCTCGATGTCTAGGTGCAGCATGGAGCGTGAACTGGAGAGCGCCTACCCTACCACACATCTAATCCTATTTGTTAAGGCTCAACACCGGGCCACAATAGAAACGCATCCTGCTGCAGAGGAATGTGTCCAGTAAATGATGTGATTGTTCACGCTTAAGCACAGCCCAGAGAGGAAGGAGCAGGGAGAGGTCGAAGTACAAAGTGACATGAAAATACAGCGGCGCATGCTTTGAATTAGGGCTTTATTTTTAACAGCTATGTGAGGATGCGGTGTTTTTAGCGCATTAGCGTCTACTTCAGGTCTGCCACACTGTAATAGCTAAAAGCGAGGAGCACAGAGCAAGGCAATTTATTTCAATCTTTATCTCGGCTGGCTTTTGTTACCTAGACATATCAGAAATGGCAACCTCCTGACTGAACAAATGGGTTCAACCATTTGCAGCGCCTCTGGGAAATAAAGATGTTGTGGAATTTATAAAACAAAAATCACAAGACATGACAAAGTACATTTTGTAGTTGCTATTTAAAAAACATTTGCAATGACGCAGAGCCCACAGTCAGAGTGAGTTTTGTGATTGTTTCATTTGGTGTCAGTTCACATAGGGGTGACCTTCAAGAAAAGGAACAAATTGAATATTTTTCTTTTATGTTTTATCTGATTTTAATCCAATATTGCCTTCTAATGCCTTACCAGCAGGACATTTTATTATTCATGGATTGTATCTTGGGTCAGCTCTGAAATAATTACACTTTTTAAGGTCTTAAAGTATTTTCATTACCACCTTTACTCAGGCATGTCTTTGGTAGAACATAAGCCTGTAGCAAAGACAATCATAGAAATGAATACAAGGATAACAAGGAAAAGTGGAGAATGGGAACGCTGAGAAAAGAGACTAGCTAATTATGTGGGACACATATGAAATCACCTTTTGCTGAGAAGTTTGATCCAAAAATTAATTTTATATGAAAATCACTATATATAAAGTTCTGATTGACTGAATGATTAATTGACAACAAATGAAACTCTTCATTGTAAAACAAAACAGTCAAACTTAGAACTACTAGGAAGAAACAAATCCAAAAAGAACCTTAATAAATGATCAATTCCAGATGTCCTTAATCAACTACCTAATCTACTACCACTAGCATTCAAAGTATTTGCATTTATAACTACCCCCATCAACATGTTAATTTATTAAGTTAGCAAAGACAGTCAATATAATTTGGGGATATCAGTTTATTTGAGCTGAACTAAATCATGCTTGACAGTGTTGCTCAAAGAAACAATGTCTTCTTGGATAAATATTTTAAGTAGGGGAGCAGGAGATGCTGAGGATCATGCTGAGATGACTCATATATTTCCATATGCATGCCAACAATGTGTCAGGGGAGACACAGCCCCACCCACTTCTTATCTGTGCATAGGCATGTGTGCTCTGTCAAACAACTGTGAAATTGGACCTCTGTGCTGATTCCATCTCTGCTGCTGTCACTTGTAATCAGGAGAATGTGCATGTATTCACAATGCATGTAAGGCACACTTATGGAGTTTGAGGCAAGTACACAATGCCAGACGGATGAGCATTAAGAGTTGAATCACTTTTGTTTGCCACAATACAGCCACCGGCGCAAAGCAAGGGAAAGAGAAATGAAAACATAAGAAACTAATGTGTCATACGTCCATTGTATGCTCCCACAAAAAGGCCATTCAGCTCAAATTGTATCTTATAAAAAATTGTGGACACGAGCAGAGCCATATATGCCAGTCTGAAAGAGTCTAAAAGATGATGTATTATTACAGCTGATTCAGGGCTGGGCTGTGAATTAACTCTCTCATCAAGGTTTTCACCCCAACACTTTACCCCCACTGCTTACTGATTAAAATTACCATTGTAGTTTAAGAAAATACCACGTTTTACTTGTAAGTCATTCATCGAGTCCTCCTTTCTTAGGGATTTAAAAAAGATAATAGATAAATAAATGAATAAAAAAGGACGACTTAGGGTCCCCAGACAATGAGCGAAGTCTGTACAGAATATGAATGAAACAAAGTTCACCCTGGATTTGCCCTCATGAATAACACATGTGTGCTAATGGGGGTTCATCTGTGCTGCTAGCTCACTCTGTCCACTGTTACAACGCACAAACTCCCTGCCTCTCACTGCCTCGGCAAGTGCTGTTATGTTGCTGTTTTTGCATCAACATGACATTAAATACTCCAAATGTGTTTACATATGACAAGTCTGCAGCCTTAATGGCCTTTTAACTGGGTATTAAAGGGCCCATATTGCGCTATTTTCTGATCTATGTTATGTTGTTTTCTCATCACAAACATATCTAGAGTTATGTTTTATTTCATTCACACATGCTTAAACAGACAAACACTAGATATTTAGGCTGAGTTCTTCTCACAAACAGAAAACACTCTGTTCCAAATTGTGATGTCATGTGGTAACACATGAAGTGCTCCACTGGGTTTTTAAATGCCATACACCTTTACTAGTATTCATTTGGATTCATTTGGATAATTTAAGACCTGAAACTGTTGAGCTAAAGGTAAAATATAGCTGCTAATTTGAACACTACCACTGCATGACATCACAAGGTAGAAGAGCATTTTGAGATTTGGAGATAACAAAGGCTCACTCAAACGTGTGTGACTGAAACAAAAGACAACTCCATGTCTGTTTTGAGGACATTCTAGCATAGTTTAAAGCAGTGTTTCCCAAACTTTTTTTTTCTATGGACCCATATTTTAAAAGTCACAAAACTTTGCCCCCCTAGTCAATAGACATTATATGTAAATCACAAAATAAAGGTGGATTTGACCATTATTGAACATTAATAAGGATATTTTATTGTTGACTGAGTTATTGTGTCTCGCTGAACAATTAGTATTACTCAAGTCATTGAACTAGCAGTAAAAGGGATCCATAAGTCGCCTATCTGGACATTAAATGTAGCCCATTTCTTTTTCTTTCAACATTCAGAAGGAGAGTGCAACACACATATCAGTATCAGAACTGTATATTGCAGACCAACATGCAAATTGTGACAAGGCGACCCAAAAAATCTCTTGCGATCACAACCCAGTCTTTGGGAAACAAATTTTGCATAATATAGGACCTTTAATATTGGCCTACAGAATGCTGTGATGCCATCTGAAACCCATCAATAACTGGAAAATGCCAAAAGTCCAGCCAAATATAGGAACTAGAGTTATGGAAACCTACTAATCTACACACATGCAAGCTCTCGAAATGTATACAGAGAACATGGTAAAGCATATTTATAAGTGAAAACTCCAGTTTAACGCCATGCTTTTTCCTTTCTTTGGCTGTGCATATAAAATAATTGGTCGAGTAATAAAAAAATTTGGTTGACTATGACACTATCAAGGGATCTATCATCTAATCGCCTAAAGGACATTTTTGTATTGCACTGAATAACATAATGAATTCTTGTCATTTATTAAATCTGC